ATTTCAAAATATAGTCAAATAAAAAAAAAGACACAATGATGGTAAATGCAGCAGATTATATTTTGAGAGTGAAGGAAAAGTACAATAAAAAATTGTGCAAATGCTACTAACAAGGTAACATTTATAATTGGGTCTTAATATTGTTTGACATTTACTGTCCATGTCCATACTTGCAAATTAGGTCTATCATCTAGCACTTAAGCAGGTTCTCAGAGTTTCTTGTCACAGCAATTTCTTTTAACAATTTACACACACTGATCCCGTAGGGCAAATAGTGATGATGATACTCACTTATTCATGCATCTGTGTTAAAGAATCAGACCAGCAGGGTCCTTGCTCTCACACATAAAGTTACCAGGAGGTAAAAGGGCTACAAGTATTTCACAGGTTAGAATAAATTAAAAAAAAATTAAATAATTAAAAAGTGGCTTTGGTTAAAGAGAAATACATTCTGAAAAGCAAGGGTGCTACTCAACTTGTAGCTGGAGACACCCCACTGACCCAAGAAGAGTGAGCTACACATGAAGGGGAACAGACAGCTACATTTTACTGCAAAAGATCTGGGCATCAGCATGTCAAATAAGCTGGCTCAGTTCAGTAACAGCCATCTACTGCATAAAAAAGGGCAAGCCTCATAGTTGTGTGTACAGACATAAGTGCTACAGCAATCCTCTGCCCACCTCCTGTAGAACCTGGCTGGGAGCCCTTCAGCCTGCTCTGGGTACTGTCTTCCAAGAAAGCTGTAACATCCTTAACCCAGAGGAGAGCAATGAAGTCACCCAACATTGAAGAAAAGACCAGTAAGAAAACCAAAAGCAGCTGTAATGTTGCAATGGCTATCTACCTATTTGAGCAAAAATGTAGAAAATATTTTATTACAGCAATTGTAGCAGTCCAGGAAAAACAAAACAAAACAGCAGCAAAAGAAAACAAACAAACAAACCCAAAAATTAAGCCAAGGAGATTTAGTTTAGATATTAGGGGAAAAAAAAATCTTCATAGCGGCAGAAATAAAGACTGGAGAGACTCTGCAGTCCTCAAGCCAACATCTGTACAAACAAACACCATTTATTTGTACACAATCCTCACTTGAGGATTCCACAGTCCAGAACAGCACAAGGAGGGGGAGCGTGGCCTCCAAGTGATGGACATGTCTTCCCCTCTGCCTCTTTAATTTGGGACTTCAGCTTGTCTGCAACCCACAGGAGACAAAGCATTAGTATGTTCAGCACAGTCAGATCAAAAGGTGGATTGATATGACTCACAACCACGTAGTAACTTACTTAAGTGAATTGTGGACAAATTATATGTTTGAAGAAATTGTTGATAATTTCCCTTGAATATTTTGGGATTGAAACCTTAGTTTATATAGGTTCTTTTAGCTATTAACTTCTTTATAGCAAAATTCCTATGTTTTATGCACTTAATAAGTACAGTGGTGCTAGCTCTATGCATCACATCTCCAACTAGAATGGAAATGAAAACATGGTAATTTTAAAATCTAAATTCAAACAGCTGTTAATCACTTGGCCTAGAGATAAATGGAAGAGCCACAAGCACATCACTGGTGATTCCTAACTCCTTATTCTAATTTCTTAAAGAAAGAAGCCTTCTCTCACTTTAACTGTTCACTTTGGCTTTCATTTATTTTTTCAATAAATGAACAATGAACCTAAATGCATTTGTAGAGGTCTCATTTTCTGAAACTGCTTTTGCCCTCATATTAGTTACATCTTGGATGACTATGTGGCATTTATATCTCATAATTTCAAACATGGGGTGCAATTTGAAAAATCCAGCTCTCTGCATTTGGAATGAGTTACTTTCTAGCTGAAAACAATGTCACTGTTGGGTTTTAAAGGGCTAGCCATAGTTGGTCTTGTCTGATTTTTTGGGGTTTTATTCCAACTCTGTATGGCCATGGCCAACAGGTAGATGATCAACTAGCTGCATTCAGCATCTCTTGCTCCTAATTACTCAGTTCCCCAGTTGTCCTCCCTTGTTGGTTCCATTCTTGTCACCACAATTAATTCCCATTTCTTACTCCTGTATCCACATTCATCTCATTAATTTTTGGCCAGTCTCCACTACTGTTTCAGATCAGCATTTTGCAGTTTCTCTTGTCACTGTTCCAGGCACTTCTCCTCCCACTTTGGATTTGTAGGTTTGAAGGGCAGTTTTTAATTGCACCTAACAGAAGAATATTTTGCTCTTCTCAGGAAGGTGCTAGGGAAGCTCCCACCTCTCCTATTGTGCAATTTTGTCCCCAGGCTGGTCTGGGAGCAGAAAACCTTATCAAGGGTGCAGCAGCACTAGCAAACACTTTTTTCCTCTGTAGGCTTAAGAGCTATTTTATGCACAAAGATGCATAAGGAAAGATACTGTCTGATGAAACCAAACTCTCAACAGTCCCCAGCTCCAAGTGGTTATTTTAATTAATACTACAATTAATGCATTTCCAGCTTCCTAAGGAGAGCCAGGAGGCAGTGATTGATGGTCCTTCCTCAGGAGACAAGAAATGTGGTCCCTTCAGATTGGATTCCTCTCTTGGTCCTTTTTCCCTCAGCAGACTCGTGGCCACACTGAAATTCCTAATGGGTATTTCACTGTGTAACCACAATCATACCTCAGCTGTCTGGTGGCTATACAAACATGCCTTAATCTGTGTTACTCTTAATTCTTGGAAGTGGATCTTCATATACGTTTTTAAAAAAGTATTTCTTTTTTCTCTGTGGGGAAGTAAAAGGAAGTTTGCCCCTACTTGGAGTTGCCAGTCTCAGTATTGTATCAACGGCAGATGACAGTGATCAGCTGAGGTATCAAAAGATTGCTCACAAACCCTTTAAAAATCATCTGGTTGAAGAACAGATTTTGTTTGGGCCAGATTCACTCATGTGTGACAGTGGAGTTGCATCGCTTGAAATTAAGCTCAAATGAAACCTTAACACAGCTCCCTGGCTACCTTGCAATGTGTGTAAGTAACGCATATGCTTACTTTACACTGTGTTAAATCCTGTGCAAATACAGGAAAAGGCATCCATTCAATAGTGAGTTCATAATTATTGAAAGGAAATAAAAGAACTATTAGAAATACAAATGATCCACATCTTATTATGAGCCAGTTGGTGTTGTAAAGTGATTTAGAAAAAACTAAATAAATCTTAGGGTAAAGTTGCATGAAGTAATGCATGAATTTGAAACCTCAGTTATTAGGAGGGAGTGAGTCTTCAAAGCAGAGACTGGTATCTAATTAGTTAACTCCTCAGGCAAAGCAGGCAATGCACCAGCTGATGCAATTGGTGGCAGCAGGAGTTTGGAAATAAATAACTATTTGGCACTGAGAACTGAAACAGAACTCAAATTTCTGTGGATTGCCTGGGCCCACGTTCATGCCTGAGAGCTTGTCTTTCTGTGGTAAAGGAAAATTAAATCTCAGAGTTTAAGATCCAGGGTTTAATGTTCAATTTATTAAAATTCATCTGGTCTCCATAGACTGAATATTTTCAGTTGACCTAGATGTAGGTCTTGATAAAATTAAGCTCTCATGGGGCATTTCCAGTGTTTTCTGATAAAAGCTTGGTGGAATTGTGCTAGCAAAAACTGAGACATTTAAACCCAGTGATTATCATCCTAGCTAGAAACCAGAAACGCAGAGGCATGTGAAAACAAGAAAAACAAACAAAAATCCCAAACCTCCAGATATCCCAACCAAGAAAAAAAAACCTGGGGAACAGCCATTCATGGTGATTTATGATGTGTTTGGTCCTGGATTTGTTCAGACTACCTCCTCAGAGAATCTGCAGTCAGGGCTACGGCTGCAGCCGGCTACTGACAGAGACCATGGAGAAGTGAGCGCTCCCTGCAGAAGGCAGCTCAGCTCCCTTCTACCCACAGCTGCTCTGCACAGGAGCCCTGTCACCAGCAGCAGCAATTCTGGTTGCTATCTGATGTGAAATGGCTATAGCATTACTATATTAAAATTTATTGCCTGAATGTGTTTATTACTGTCCCACTTTTTTTTTTTTTACGCATATGGGTGTGCATTTTTAGCTTTGGTAGTCCCTTTGAAACAAGATTGCTGTTTCTCAGTATGACAGATGGTACTCGAGTTGGCTGTCCTGAGTCTATCCTGTGCATTGCTTAAAAGGCTTGCTTGTGCTATGCAACCTGTGATGCCCTGGAGATATCAGTACTTGTCATTCAACTTAGTTCCCATCGTCACTTTTCTGCTCATAGATTCTGCCTGTCCTGACATCACCTCTCTCAGTCAAAAGCGCTGTTTCTTAAGCCAAGCAGAGATTTCTGGTTCCAGCTCAGTTTAGTTTCAGTAGCTCCATATCTGCTGTCTCACAGGCAACGGCTACATGCTCTCGTAAATCTGTCAATAGGTCTCTGTGTGAGTAACCTAAGCAGCAGACACACAACAAACAGCACACCTGAACAGAGCCCTTGAATTAAAAGGACAGCCTCCTCCGTTGCTACCCAGGGTTTGCTCTACAGACAGCATACTTAGCACTCCCAAACCACTACTTTTTCAGCTCAAAATGTTGCATTGTATCACACACAACAGCAAGGAGAAATAAACACTGTCCTTCCTATTTAGCAAGTATGCACTTGTGTTTTGAGCCAGCTTTGTTCATGTCGGTTCCTAAGGAAATGTGTTCCAGTCGATCTGGTCTCAGGCAGTGACTGAATCACTGTGTGGACAAGGCAGGCTGCACTAGTACAAAGCGGGTCTAGCTTCAGGAAAGGTTTGCTTATGTGATGATGAGCAAGCTGGAAAGGTCTCACTGCTGCTAGCTTGATAAAAAGAAAATAAGAAGTAAATTATTTTCAATAAAGTGCGTTTGATTTGGTGTCACTGAGAGAAAGAAAATGCCATTTCATGTCACTTTTTGGAAAGCACAAGGTGTGTAACTTTTGGGGATGATTTTGGGGGTGATTTTGCTCTTGACTAATCGTCAGGTTCAATATTAAAATCTCAAACTTTCCAAAGGAAAGAGATTCTGCATCTTTTAATGAAAGATAAAACAACAATATAAACATACACAAATTTACAGAGAAAGGATCAACTTTAATACATCTGGAATAAAAGGTGTTCTTTTTTAAATATGGTATAAAAATAAATGCAAGAAACATTAACAGAGAATATACAGACAACAGACAAAGACACAGGCTTTCTTTCTCAATGTGAATACATCAGTGAAATGAAACCTTCTGTGCTAATTTATTGTGCAATAAATGTGATGCCATATGTATATTTATTAATATATGCATTTTTTACATTTCTTCCATTTTTTTGACTGACGTATTTTTTTAATAAACTGTGCCTAGCAGAAGCTTTTTTTTTTTTCACTGTACTTGAGCTTGCAGAAAATAAAAAGACACAGATCCAGCTTGATATGAAGGAGGAAGTGAGCAGACAGTTTTCGAAATGGAGGCATCGAAAGGCTAGAGAGTCCCTCGGAGTCTGTAATGCCTTAGTATACACAAAAGAAAACAAGTCAGGTCCTTGCTCATGCAACATCTTGTTCTACTGTCCTCTGAGTCAGGCAATCAGTGAGCTACAAAGTATGTATAATGATTTGAGTCTGCTTCCATGCTACAAGGTGATCCTTTTAGTAGGACTGCACTAGACTGGTTAACCTCTTTGATGTGAGCGATTTCCCCTGAGGAAAAGATAAAAACAAAAAAAACAAAAACAGAAAACAGAGGCATGATCACTGCAAACCTGTTCATCAGCAACCACTTAGTGTTGCCACATCACTGTCAAATAACTAGGGGCACCAACTGGAGTCTGTCAAATCTGAAACCACAGGAAGCCCTTACCCTTGAACACCTGCACTGCCAGCCAGCCACATTGTTTCACAGGATAAGCCAGCAAATTTAAAGGCCGTTCCTGTATGAGGTTAGTTTTGGCTGAGGAGAAACTAATGTTGAGAGTTTTGTTGTTGGTAATACCCAGAACATGAAGAAGTCTGCTGCAAGTGAGAGTGCCTTGTGCTACAAAGATGAATGTGCAAGCTGCAGTAGCTCTGCCACCCAAGACAAAAAGCTACTTTAAAGCTCTGGTAAGAAACTAAGAGGTAGATTGCATAAAAACAGGAAAGCAGATTTTCCAATATTCATCTATCAGTTTGCTGAGACCATATTTATTGTTTGTTAGGAACATTGGTCAGGTATATTACATGTGCCTGCATAACACTGCTTTGAAGGTGCTTGGATCTCCACATAGTTATTTTCCTCATCATTCCTCCAATTGCAAGGATGCAGTTTCATTTAGCAAGTTTGTTTTTTTTTAATACGGCAGAATGAGTGTCCCACAGGAATTAGGTCTACAGAATAGAGAGGATGGTGTAGGGTATGCCACCATGGTATATTTCAGGCAGATTTGAGCTTTATCTGAGCCACACAAAAGCCATCAAACCACATTACAGGAATTAACTCTCCTAAGGCGCATAAAAGGAGTCAGCTCTGCTAGGGCCATCCTACCATGGCTCAGATTCAATGGAGGCAAAGCTGGCACAGCAAGCTTACATCGCTCCTCAAAATACCACAGGCATACCCTGATAATGTAACACAAATAGATCATAAAACATTAAATAGCAAGTGGCTCTCTCTAACTGTCCAGTTGGATATTTAATACGTACATTTATTGTAGTATTCATTTTAAGTGCACAACTCAGAAAAATGCAACTGATGACAAGGAGACTACAGTAAGAAATACTGTAACTGTGGAGAGATGCTACATCTTCTGCAGTAAATGGCAAATGAACTTATTCTGCCATATCGATGAGTTAAGTTATCTGCACAATTTAATATCTACTGTCATTATTAATTAAATTTATGCTCACAGGGATCTGCAAGTTCGTTTCGAGCATTTGCTCAAATGCAATGTATCAGTGGGTCTTTACAAAAGGAAGAATAACTATTTTATTCTTTGTGCTCTGAAATACAAGCTGAATAAATTAGGATGAATACAATACAATATAATTCTGAAGGCAACTCAGATGATCTGCAGTGTTGGGTTAGTCTGCTCTTCCATCAGGTTCACCATATCACCTGATAGGATTAATACTTGCTTCTTTAAAAGATGGAAAGTGTCATTCCTGGCATGCTGTCCTGGTTTCAGCTGGAATAAATTGTCTTCCGAGCAGTTGGTATAGTGCTGTGTTCTGGAGTCAGGATGAGAATTTTGTTGCTAACTCACTGATGTTTTAGTTGCTGCTAAGCAGTCTTTACACTATGTGAAGGACTTTCCATCCTCTCGTCCTGCCCTGCCTGCAGAGGCTGTGAGTGCACAAGAAGCTGGGAGGGCTGGGAGGGAACACAGCAAGGACCGATGACCCAAACAAGCCAAACATACCACATGACATCATGCCAAATATGTAAACTGGGAGGAGCTGGCCAGGGGACACTGTGGCTCAGGGGTTGATTGGCTGGTTAGCAAGTGGTAAGCAAATGTGTTGTGCATCACTTTTTTTGTATATCATTGTTGTTATTATTTTCCCTCCCTTTTCTGTCCTATTAAACTGTCTGTATCTCAATCTAGGAGTTTTACTTGTCTTGCATTTGATTCTTTCCCCCATCCCACTGGGACAGGAGGGAGTATGCAAGGAGCTTAACTGTGGTGCTTAATTGCTGGCTGGGGTTAAACCATGACATACTCTCTTTCCTATGTCTAGCTTTAACTCTGACTCTCTACCTACATTAAATTCACAACTTCTTGACCCTTGTTAAGCCTTAATTTATATTATCCTCTAATGAAACAGTTAAGCTGTTATACCTAGACATCTTTTATTTTTAAAGAGTAAAATAAGTTTCAGCAGCTGTGTGACACTGGAATACATTTTAAAACAGAATGTCCAAAATTAAGTGTTTTGTTTGGCAATTCATGCTTGGCCTTGGACATAAATTACGGACATGATTATGCCTTGGACATAAACTAGGATGATACTGAGTGTAAGTTTATCTTTGCCTTTGATGAAGTCCTTTGTGTTAAAGTTTACAGGCCTACAGGCCTGGCTACTTCCTGTAAATACGTATGAATTTCCTGTAGTACTGAACTGCATAAACTGGTTAATTAAAACAATTAAACCAGGAGTTCTCTATTAGTTGCTGAAAAAATTTGCTCTATATTGCACTGGAAAGCTGCACAAGCTCTTGCTGTGGGATAAAATCTGTGAATTTATTTTTTTTTTATTCTTATCTGCAACAACTGATTATTTCAGAGTTGTAATTCCCTGGAATTTTTAGATGAACCATAATCAAATTCTCAGGAATGAATTGTCATATCTCATTAACTAGGAACTTTTGACTTAAAAGCAGGCCAAAACCTAGTTGTTAGTTGATCTGACTTGTGTAAGTTTACTCTTCATATTATTTAAAATTTCCTGTATAGACACAGTGAGCTGTCATGACAAAATTTTTCCATATTTCTACATCACTCGCTCCCTGGATATCGCTGGGCTTTGAATACTTTTTCTTCTAAGCCCTACAGTGGTCAGGATTTCTCATGATGGTCCTCTCCTCCACCTCCCTTGCCTGCCTCAGAACATGTTACACTTCTTAAAGATAGTCTCCATCTGAACTACAATAATGTATGCAGTTTTTCCAAGAACTAGTAGTTCTAATCTATTTTACAGTTGGAAAAGTGACAACTTAGAAGATATACCCTCCTTAAGAGATCTTCCGTGTTTATCCTGACTCAGACTTAGTTCTCTGATTGGGAAAATAAGCTTTTAATACACAGAATACGTATCAGCCCCAAATGCAGAATTATCTCACCTTCTTACTCAGATCTGTAGGGATTTGTTATTTTCCCATTTACATAATCTTTATTTCCAACTCTGTTGATGAGTATACTTTTACTTCACCTCTGTCCAGTAGGGTTTTATAATTATCACTTCTAAGAGATTTCCAGATCTACTCATTTTACAGACTGATGATGTAAGGATCAACCCTTGTCGGTCATAACTCAAGTTCTGAGCCCAGCTCTTTCTTTCAAATACAGTGTTAATAGAATTTCCATAAGCCAAATTTTTATTTAGGTAAGTACATCTAACAGGCCGATTTTGAAAGGTACAGATTACGAGTCATCACACACAGGAAAATGTTTCCTGTGCTAATGAGATTAAAGAACAATTGAAAAAAAGAGTGGAAGAAGTAGTAGATATTTGAATAATGAAAAGGAGATCCTTAATATTGTCAACATATTCTTGCCACCAACATTTAGAAGTATATGGCCAAATTCTAAACAGGATTAGGAATTTTGGTGCACTGTAGACATAAGGATTTAAACTATTTAACAATGTGACCTCCACACATAGCCTCAAACAAGGGAGTCAGAGTACAAGGAGGCAGCACAACTGTTGAAGTGAGCTAGTTTATCTAAGAGTATGATATCAGTTGGCCTCAGTGTTAATGTCTCTACCTTAGTGTATCAGTAACAGTGACATAGAGTTGTCCTTGTCAATTGTACTTTTCAAGAATTTAGGGGGAAAATTATAAAATGTAGCAGGTTTATGAGCTGCTAAAAACAAATGTCCTGACTGACCTATTTATGCGGGATGACACTAACACCTCAAATAATCCAGCAAACAAGTCAGCAGCAACCTCAGCACACATATGGCTTATAAGAATTCAATATTCAATAGTCAATTTATACAGGGGGCAGAGCTGAAATATATGATGGAGGAAGATCAAGTCTTTTCCTTGTAGAAGATCAATTCTTTTCCTTCCTGGTAAGCAAGCTCAATGGCTCCTTTTTTTTTGTATGTTTCTTTATTGCCAGTGCAGATGCTACTCCCCAGGACTGATACTCGTAGAACCAGAAATGAGAATTCCACCCATCTGACCAGGTGTAACAGAGAAACAGTGTGAACTCTGCTGTGAGCAAAATGAGATGCAGAGTGAGAATCGACTCTCCTTGCTCTCACTGTTCCCTGTCTGCTCATGAGCAACACACCTGCAGCGCACCAGCAGCTCAGCTGGCATGGGCAGGGAAAGCTCCCAAGTGACATCGCAGTGCACCACGCACAAAGCCTGTATATGAACAGCCCCTGACAGAAGCACATCTGGAGAGGCACCAGGGCAGAAACAGCAAGTTCCTTTCCAAGATTAGGCAGCCCAAGGGAACTGCTTTAGCACTGCTCAGGGGGGTCAGGATTCTGCGTAGATTTCCACAGCAGGACAGGACACTGCTCTCAGCCACCCGTGCAGGTGTATTTCTCTTCTAGACATGTGAGGAAGGGAAAGA